TAATGTTGGATTTCAAGCATTATTATCAGTCATTATTTTTATCAGGAGGCGAATAGTGAAAAATTTGATAATTAAAGAAGCGAAGAAAAATATGAGAATCAGCTTACATGATGCATAAATTTGCAAATCTCGCTTGACAAGTGTTATAAAACAAATGGTTAACGTAATCATGACAATAATATGAACGATCTTCCGTTTCATATGCGGTAAGACCAATATACACAACTGTTAAAAAGAAAGTTTGATGTTAATAATCCTTTTTTTGTAGTTAAATATGACTTTCGTGGGGGGCAAACTTACAACTGGCGTCGTAATTGCAGATGCATTTTTGATTAATCAAAAGTTTTGACAAATTAGTTCAATTTTAAAAGATAGTTGCAAGATTATTTGTATATAGGTCTTTATATTGTTATAAACTTGTAAATAAAAAAATTTGAAACACTTTATATAAAAAAACAAAAGATAAATCCATTAAATAACTATTGATTTATTACATTTTAAATTACTTTGCTTTCACGAAAGTTATAAAATATCATATGTTCTAGATCATGTGATCATATTGATTTAACCTTTTTGTCGATCGTACTTATTATAGATATGCTGTTCCTAACTACCATACCATAAACCTTACCATAAAAGCAACTAGGCACAATTTGTGAAACACGGGCGTAAAATAAAACAAACATTAATTTGTTAAATCATGGGAAAATCAAATTGTCAGATGATATGCGGTGGCGTTACATCAAATCCCCGAAAAATAAACCCCCCCATTAAAATTCTTAAAATGCCACTTCCCACAATACATTCACCGATTACAAAGCTCCCACCCGAAATTTTTGCCAAGATTTGCGACAATTTATCACCAGAGAATTTATTGAATCTTTCTAAAGTATGTTGTAAATTTGATGGATATTTATGTGCACCAAATTCCTATTCTACCCAGCAAATATGGAAGAAATCTTGTTTAAAATTCTTGCCAAAGAAAAAGATACCACCAAAAGGAATGGATGAAAAACGTTATGTTGAATTACTAGTGGGACGAGATTGTCAAATTTGTAAAATTAAGAAGCAATGTAATATTTATTGGGAATTTGGAGTTAGGTGTTGTTTAAAATGTTTCAATGAGAAGACCTTGAAGTAAGTTTTTATGATTTTAAATAAACAGTAGTACGATATTGCATTTGTATTTGCATCTCACTAATTTTTTCTTTAAAATAATAATAATAATAATAATAATCATCGTAGGATTGATATAATTGAATCGCAGATGATGAGGAAATATCCAAAAGAACTACGTGATATACTTGATATCATTCCATATTATGACGGGGTGGATATGAAATATTATTGGATGGGACAAATTTCATTTGAACTGTATCAATACTTGTCATTTTTGAGAAATGATTTATCGAATTTACAATCTTGGTTAAATGATAAAAAACATGTGTTTGATTCGATAATGAAATATGCTGAAGCTGAAGCTGCTGAAGAAAATCAATATTTATATGCTTGGTATTTTTGGAAACCTTGGCCTTCTTTTAAAACACCTCTTCGTAGAAGACCTTTCGTTCTTCCATATCTTATTACTGAGTATTATTCGTCTATAGAAGGGTCAAATACAATAAATAATTCACATTTTGACGATTCTGATGAACTAAAAAATAATAAATTTGTTAAGCCCAAAAAAAAGAAAACAAAATATTTTAGAAAGCATGATAATTATCAAAAAGGAAAAAATTTGAAAAAGAAGTTTGCCTACAAATACGGTTAAATTAGAGATGATTTAATGAATGAAAATTTTGAAAATGACAAATATGTTGTGATTTTTATATTCTTTAAATCAATAAACTTCAATAGATTCAATTTATCAAATTTTTACAAGGCAACAAGATTTCTATCTGAATATTTATTTACTTTTCTATTTTTTTTTTTTGAAATTTCATTTACAAAGTTGCAAAGAACGCAATTTGATGTCAAATGAAAATTCATCATGTTCTTTATTCTTATTATTTCTTAATCATTCTTTCTAGGTAGTTGGCTCCGATCCTTGAACGAAATCTAACAAGCATGTTCTGCTCATCACATTACACAAAATTTTATAACTAATTGGGTGGTAATTAATTTTTTTGTAAACGTGCCTTAAAATTTACATTGTGCATGTGTTATTATTCACCGTGATTTAAGTAACAGGTCATACAGGAATTAGTATATTATCAATCGCATCATCGAAAACAGATGAGATATTATACCTTACATCGCACCGGGGATGTTTCAAGAACAAGAATTAACTAAAGCTTCAGATGTTTATGGCTTTAACATGATTATGTGGGAATTTTTTTAGAATCGAGATCATGATACAGAACTTTTTATTGAATAATTGTTACAAAGATTACCTTGAAAATGTTGATATTTCCTAATCCAAATTGCTGACATCTAATCAAGAATTATTAATATTGATATTGGGCCTATAATTCCCAGTTCCATCTATAATAGTAAACTTTTAAGCACATTGATAATATCTACCGAGTCTATAAGAAGTTTCAAAGTCAAAGCATTATCTTAGACTTCGTATTTTTAAATAAAATACGTATTAGTTATTCCACGAGGATCAATGGATATCATTGATTTTCACGGCGCAGCCGTGAAAATATCAATGATATCCATGTGATCGCCGTGGAATAA